TGGTGGAGCGGGTGCTGTTCTGCTCGATCGGCTTGCCGAGCTGCTCCCACCTGTAGCTCATCTCCCCGTCGATGTCGTGGACACCTGTCTGGGGGACTTTCTCGATCATGCCTCTCTGCTCCGTGATGTGTTTGTTGCTGCTTCTTTTTCTGTCGCTTGCTGTTCGGATCTGGCTTCTCCTTAGGTGCTGGCGGGTGGTGGAAATGCGAGGGGGGGCTTCAGCTGGCGAATGGTCACTGGCTTGGCATGTCCTCGAATGCGCAGCACTTGTCCGATATGTGTCTTCCATGGCACAGCAACGCTCTCAATTCCCATGAAATATTTCCGTGCCTCTGTACTGATGAGGGCGTAGTCGATAAGCGACTCAGAGGTGGTGCCTTTCTTCTCGTTCTTCGTGAAGCATGTGTAGCCGTCTGGGATGGTAGCGATGTGGCCCCCCATGGCCGTCGACCATCCTGATGCCCACAGCTTCTCAGGGCTGCGGTTCCAATCGCCCATGACGGTCCACGGGTGCTGACACGAAGCAAGGAAGGCCGCAAATGTAGAAAGCTTGCGTGCACTCACTCCGCTGAGGCTGCCGTTGCTGTCCAGATAGATGCTGATGGTCATCAAACTGAATCCGTTAAGATGCCAGCACATGGGTATCAAATCGCAAAAGTTATGCTTTGCGCTTCCCGCGGGTAGTGCCATCAGCCCAGATGTCGAGTCTGAGGCTGAGCCTGCCTTGGCCTTCTCGCGGAAGCACTCGCTCTGGTGATAAGATAATACTCCAATGCATGTGGCTGATTGACGAGCTGGTGCAAGCGAAGCTTTGTAGCCCATGTTCTGCACATTCCGCTCAAAGTTCATCAAGTCGTGAATTCGCAAGTGGGTCTCCTGAATGGCGAAGGCGTCGAAGCTCCTGTTCTCGCGCGCGGACGCGAGGTAGGTCTCCACCTTCTTGCCGCACTCCGCGCAGTTGCCGGTGAAGATTCTGCGCCCGGGAGGCCTCGTGTCATCGGCCTGGTCTCCCGAGCTCGGAAGGCCCTACTCCTGGCGGCCACTGGCCTTGGCCTGAGCGGCCGTGGCCCTGAGGGGTGCCAGGAGTCTGTCTTTGTCCTCGTCCAGGTTCGCGGGGTCGAGCCGTGAAGTCGATCCCGAAGCAGTCTCGGCCTCAGGTGGTGAGGCTGCTGCTGTGGCCTGGGCTGGTTGAACTGGTTCTTGCGCTGGAACTGCCGCTGGGGCTTGCTGTGCTGCCTCTGCCTCTGCCTTCCGCTTCTTCGACGCTTGCTTGATCTCCTCACGCTGCTGGCTAACCGTTTCACGTGCTTGACTGAGGTGGTCCTTGAGGCCCGACATGTAGGCCTTGGCGTTGTTCTGGTAGCTCTCGAGGAGCTGCTTCTTAACCTCTGCGACCTTCTGGAGGGCCTCGGAGTCCAGGTCCTCGTCCCCTTCGGTGAGGTCTCAGTCCAGCCCGAGGTTCTCGGGCTTCTCCAGGTCGAGGTCTACGATCTGCTGCAGGAGGTTGGCTGGCGATGGCACTGTCGAGGATGAGACTGCTGAGGCCGCGGGTTGGCCCGTCAGCGTCTGCACTTCGGCCTCCGCTTTGAGCACGGCCTCCGCCAGCTCGAGCAACTCCCTCTGCTGCTGCTGGTACTTCTGCTTGGTGATCCGTGTCTCCTTGAACGCGTTCTCGTATCGCTCGTTGGCCCGCTCAAGCCTCACTGCGGCGTTCTTCAGCTGCCGCGCTGGGGTGGGCTCGTGTGTCTGCTGCTGCGGCGCCAGGGTGTCCGCGACCTGGCGCAGTTCCTTGGTGGGCCCGTCCTCTATGCCGAGCGTGCCAAGGGTCTTAGCGATGTTGCGAAGGGCGACGGCGACCTGCTTGTTCTCGTTGCTGGGCGTCGACTTCGGGTCCTGGCGGCTGCGCTGCTGCTTGTAGGCGGGTGGTCGCTTGACCGCACAGCCACAGCCGCACTTCCAGTCCCACTTGTCGAATTCCGTATTGCGGCACCACTGCTGGCAGGACTTGCGTTGGGACCAGTCCTGATGCCAAGCGGGTGCTCCTTTGTCGCCGCCCTTGCCCTTGCTCCTGCCGCCACCTTTGGAACTGCCTCGTCCCATCCTGTCCGCGGTGCCCGCGTGGTGGGAGCTCAGCAAAAGGTTGGCGGCGGTCACGACCTTCCGCGCCTCGTGCCTCTTGGCCCTCTCTCTGCGATGCCAGGAGGGCTCGGGCACAGAGCGGCGCTTTGCCGTGTCGGCGACAGCCACGAACAGACTGTCGGCTAAGGCCGACCGCGGGCGGGCATGCGGCGCGCGCGCGGTCACGAGCAAAACGCACCGCGGGGAAAGGTCTCCCACGGCTCAAACCCACGGCCTTCCAAGGAGGAGGAGGAGGAGGAGGAGGAGGAGGAGGAGGAGGGGGAGGGGGAGGAGGAGGAGGAGGAGGAGGAGGAGGAGGAGGAGGAAGAGGAGGAGGTGGAGGAGGAGGAGGAGGGACCATCTGGCCATCCACAGATGAGCATCGTTTGGCCGATCCCTAGCCCAACCGGCGTGGCCTGCGCCCCACTGGCCATCAGTTCCCCCCGAGACGGGGAGATAGGCTATGTCCTTCGGTTTCCGGGTGGCCTATCTACAACTGGGGTGATGGGATGATGCGTCCCTTGCCCAAAGAGGATTCACATCCGAAGCGGACCTCCCACGCCCCAGATCACCTCCTCCTCCCAAGGAGCCCCGAGTCATCGAGACGAGGCCTGCACCCACTCTTCAACAGCAGGCTCTATGGCTAGGCCTGGGTCGCATTAAACAATGAGAGCGGCCATGCTGCTAGGCCCTGACGCTCCCGTTAAGATCAGATCAGCGTACGCTGGACCCGACGCGGCCAGGACGCGATCAAGCATCAATATTTAGGAAGCAACTCCTGGGAAATCTTCTTAAGAACGACTGCGGGATAATACACCAAACGAAAAGGCCATTAGGCCGGGTTAGCCGAGATTCAGCATAAGATTAAGCCCGATTTGGCCGGACCACTAAGGACTGAGGCAGACTGTGCGGAATTAAGCAGATGTGCGATCTCGGATGCACCAACGCCGATGCTCATTTCAACCTCCCAAGAGTTGCATTCGAACAGTCTGATCACGGAACTCCGAGGGAGTCGAATAACTATGCGGTCGCAGGGGGCCCTGCAAGCAGGGAGCATGACCAGGAAAAGATCGGCAGCGCGCTACGGGGGCCGGCGCGAGGGGGGCGGACGTCGAAGACGGCGGGAGGCTTCCAAGAAGGCGGGAGATACTTTAGAAGACCCCCTGGCTTCTGAGAAGTCCTCTCAGATGCACGCGCCCCTGTATTCGAAGCCCCTGGGCTCTTTTTAACGACGCCGTGTTCCATCTCCCCGCCTTGTCAGCCGGCCCCCGCCCCCTCCTGGTGCCAACCCGCTTGCGCGCGTGGCCGCGGCGCACGAGGCGAGGAGCAGAGGGACGATGAGTAACAGGAAGGAGTAGCTGTAGTTCGCTCACTATGCGCACATGACAACATTTTTATGTTCCTCGACATGACGGAAGCATCAAGGCGCTCGAGAGCACTGTGTTCCCGTCGGTGTCAGACACAGGGGGGGCCCCTTAGCCAAACAACAAATTTGGAACCTCTCTGGAAGCAGAAGATTTAGACGACCGAAGTGGGTACGGAAAAAGGTACGAGGCCCAGCAACAAATGTTGCCCACAACCGACAACGGCCGCTGTTGAGAGGGCGGCCTTCTGTCCCAAGTGCTCAACACCCAGTGAACAGTGGGAATGAACTGCTGACAGTCTTCGTGCCCCAATTCTTTCGGTACCCATGTCGATCGTACCGAGAAGGAGGCTGAGGATGAGGATGAGAACGAGGAGGAGGAGAAGGATAACTCGGGAGAATTCGGCAACGGCGATGTTGAGAGGTGCGAGATGATAAGCGCCTTGTGGGAGCCACTGTGGCCCTTGGTGGGGCACATCTTTGCCCTTGGAAAACAAGAAATCACCCACTTACCGTTTTTGGTCAGACGTTTGCATTCATCCAACAGTTTACGAACAACATCCTGTAGGCCTCGCGCGACAACTTGAGACCCGATTTACGTCGGATCCACGTCGCATGTACGTCACAATCACGTCGGAGAACTTCGGAATTACCTCGGATTTACGTCGGACTGACGCCAGAGCATCGCCGAGCGAACGTCAAGCCATAGCTTACGGAGTTGACGTGTGGACTCGAATAAACACCTACTGCGCGCCGCACGAGGCCTCCAGGATTTTTCCGCATACAATAATGACCCTGAACAAGAGCGACCTCTGGTGCGCGGCTATAGTTGGCCGCGGGGAGGCCAAATCCAAGTGCGCCAGCAAGTGCTGGAGGGACCCCTGTGGGCCCGCACCAAAGGGTACTCCACCAAAAGGTCAATCTTACGCGTAGCCGAAAGAAAGCCGTTCGCGCACACACACACACACACACACACACACACACACACACACACACACACACACACACACACACACACACACACACACACACACACACACACACACGCACACACACACACACACACACACACGCACACCGTCAAATGCTGTGGGGAGGAGGAGGAGAAGGAGGAGGAGGAGGAGGAGGAGGAGCGAGGAGGGGCGACGAGGAGGTGGAGCAGCGAGGAGGACGAAGAGGATGAGGAGGATGAGGAGCGAAGAGGAGGAGGATGAAGAGGAGGTAGGGAGGAGGAGGTAGGGAGGAGGAGGGAGGAGGAGGTAGGGAGGAGGAGGAGGAGGAGGGAGGAAGAGGGAGGAGGAGGAGGAGGAGGAGGAGGAGGAGGAGGAGGAAACGGAGGAGGAGGAGGAGGAGGAGCAGGACGAGAGCAGGAAGAGCAGGAGGGGGAGAAAGGGGAGGGGGAACGAGCAGGACCACGAAGAGCTGGTCACCCCGCCCCGTGGGCCCCCGACAGAGAGGGCACGCGGCCGCGAGAGGCGCCCTGCTGCGCGCCCCCCTCCGCTGCGCGGCACGGGGGCGCCTCGTCGGCGCCCCAGCGCAGGTCGCCGAGCCAACGCCTGGGGCGCCCCCGCGGCGAGGCCGAGGCGAAAACGACGAGAAATGTATACACCAAGGTCCCGTATGCACCAGAATCCGCGCTCCCGTGCGAACTTCAGCGCAGGGTCGGGAAAGGCGTCGGTGCATAAAAGTGTTCGTTTCCCGACAACAATCCCAGCAGGACCCCGCTCCTCTCGCCAAGCCAACGCCTGGGGCGCCTAGCCAACGCCTGGGGCGCCCCCGAGGCGAGTGGAGCGGGGTCCTGCTGGGATCGTTTTGGGGAAACGAACTCTACACACCGACGCTTCTCCCGACCCTGCGCTGAAGTTCGCACGGGAACGCTGATTCTGGTGTAGACGGGCTCCTGGTGTGTACATGTTTCGTCGTGTTCCCGGGACGTCGGGGAACAAAAATACACACCACACCACCCCAGCGTCGTCCCCGACCCTCAAAGTCCTGGGATTCAAGAAACAGCCCTCCACTGGTAATGTATACGTTCCAGTTTCCGATATTGAAAGGGCCCTGGGACACACAAGTAAATCCGCCGACCCTGTCGGCGTGTGGAAGAAGCTGTTTCGTTTGACTCCTCGTCGTCGTCGTCGTGGTGGTCGTTGTCGTCGTCGAGCGCGCAAGCCACAGCGAAATTGAGCAACGTTGTAGTGGAGTCGAAGGGAAGCCCCTTCCCTTTGATCCCTTCCCCGCCTGGGGGGGAGGGCCCGGGGAAGTCCCGGGTCAGATACGACTCCCCCCGGGCGGTTCGGGGGCCCAGAAAAGCCCAAAGACGCGGCAAAAATGCCCTAAGATGCCCCCAAGACGGTCCTCGAGGGCCCCGAATCGCCGAAGTATAGTATTCTCCAGACGACTTAAAAGGGTTCCAAACCTCCCAGAAGAGGTCTTCAAAGAGGGCACCAAGAAACATAATCATCGGTCTCCCTTAGCTTTTTGAAAGATTTCGGCATTCTCGCATTGTCAGCTTGCCGACGCTCAAAGACAGGCCAAGAGGATCCTAAGACTGCCCCAAGATGGCCCAAGAAGGGTCCAAGAGAGCCCCAAAACGACCCAAGAGGGCCCCTAGACCGTTCAAGAGGCCTCCAAGACAATCGAAGAGACTCTCAAGACGGTTGTAAGAGGGAGCCCAGACGGGGGACCCGAACGGACATTTCGAGCCCTCGGCTTGAGAAGCTCTCAGGAGACCCCCAGAGGTCCCTGAGAAGCCCCAAAAAAGCCCCAAGAGGCCCCCAAGAGACCCCCAGGAAGCCCCAAGAGGCCCCCACGAGGCTCCAAAGCGGCCCCCCAGAGCTTCCCAAGAGGCCCCAAACTACCCCCAGGAAGCCCCCGAGAGCTTCGTCGTTGAGGTCGTGGTTGTCGGCCGCCATGCAGGGTCGGCGGCACCAGCCGGAAGGCCTTCGCAATAAGCACAAACGTAAGGATTCCCAATATTTTCTTAATTATTCGTATGCCCCCGACTTCCCATATGTTCCATGTTTTCCTGGGAGTCGACGAGATAATCGTGTCTGTGTGTTTGTCCCTCCTGGACTATGCGGCCTAGGTCTTATACGCAACTCGATGACACTGCGCGGGAGGGCTCGCGCCCTGTGCGTTGCACTGCCCGCCCCTGCCCCCGCTCCAATCCTGCAAGCCACTGTTGGGGTCTGTTTGTCCGATTGCTAAACGGCTATTTGGATCGGGGGTGACCTTTCTCACCTTGCCATCGGTCTCACCTTGACATCGGACCGGGGGTTCTGACCTCACCACTGGTGGGGTCAAGGGGGAATGGGCGCTGGGCGCCACCAGGGGGGAGACCGAGCGCGACGAGGATGAGGATGAGGAAGCGAAGCGAAGCGAAGCGCACGGTCATCGCCCGGAGGCGGCCCATGGCTGGGCGACGGGCGCGCTGCGAGGCGCGTTGGACCTCTGAGAGGACCGGGAAAAGGCCATAGAGAGGGAGAGAGAGAGAGAGATAGAGATTACCAGCCTCGAACGTATCCCTATCCCTAAGGTTGACACGCCAAAAGGCGATGACAATCTTAGGGATTCGCCCTCAAAAAATTTGGGGATCCCTAAGATTGGCATAGTGATGAGGAGGTGCCAAGCATAGGGATAGGGATATGTTCCAGGCTGGTAAAGAGAGACATACCGAGAATCAATGAATCGTTGAGGGGCTTCGACGCCTGGGGCCGCGCCGCACACGCGCGCGCGGAAGCTCTGCAAACCACCCGCGTCGGGAGACGGAAAGCACGGCGACGTCTGTTGGTGCGTGCGCGTCCCAATTAATGCTTTGCGCGGCCCGCCTAGCTCTTAACCGGAAGAGGCTCGCTCTCGACCCGCAGACCAAAAAGTGTGTGTGTGTGTGTGTGCGTGCTCTTTTTGGGGGTCGAAATATCGAATGGGGCGGGACACACATGCCCATTGACGCGAGAGCATATGAGAACGAGTCATCTTGGAACTGAAAACACCGTATTATTGTGTGCCCCCCTCCAGTGCCCATTGTATGTTCTGATTCGAGGCCTCTCCATGGGCACGAACCATGTTCTCTACCAGGGAAAGAGAGCTGCGCCGTTGGCATCCGAGCTACTGAAACAACGGTTCACGCCTGAAATTTCCTCACCAAGGATGAAAGAATCGCGCTCCCGCCCAAGCTTTCCTCTCAGTTTACCCACGCATCGCGCTCTCGCGTGGGACATCCTCCCGATTAATTCAGGCGCTGCGCCCTCGGCACTCAATTATCACGCGTTCGCCCAAGAGCCCCCTGACGACTTTCTCAGGAGGGTTCCATGTTATGTATTAAGGAATCGAAACCTCGATCCAAACCTCCTTGCAACGTATCCCATAATGGCGTTCCCGCCCGGAAGCTCGACCAAAGTTCCCCCCCGACGAACTCAAAAATCGAATGACCCGCCCGACCCGCCCGCCGGGGCCCGCAGTCGCCACTCGCTGCCACTTTCTTGCGCTGCCCGCCCCCGTCCGCCAGGGTCCGTTCCTTGCGCTCCTGCTCCTCAGTTCCGCCGTTCCTGCCAATTCCTCTCGTCCTCCATCTTCCTCCGCCCCCCTTGCCTCTGCCGTGCTCCCTGCCTTCCCGCCATTCCTTTCCTCCTCGCTGGTTCCCTCTGTCCATTCTCCACCTTCCTGTTTCAAGGGCTATGCCAACTGCACGCGGCAGGTGAAGAAGATATGCCCCCCAAAGGTGTACGTTTGAAGACGAAGATGGCGGGTATCAAATGTTTGGGAAATACATGATGATTGGCAGTCGTGCGAGTGAAAGCGAACAGTCTAAGCATAATTCTTGATTCCTATCGTATGAGGCATGGTCACTGTCGATCCCCCATTACACTGTGACCAATGTGCTTCTTTCAAATTGAGGAGGCGCGATTAACTTGGGAATTGCGCTATTCTCGGGACTTCCCTGCGATTCATGCAAGAGTGACGCTTGAGCGACCCGCCCGCAGGACGCGGCCGTCTGGGCCCGCCCGCCCGACCCGCCCGTCAGTGTCCGCTCGCCGAACCCGCCCGCTGGTTCTGCCGCTTGTTTTCCTCATCTCTCTCGTTCTCCATCCTTCTCCCCCCCTTGTCCCTTCCCTCCTCCCTCCTTTCCACTATGTATGGTCTGCGCCATCTGCACGCGGCAGGTAAGAAAAAAATGTATACCCCCAAGGAGGGTACGATCGAATACCAAGAAGGCAGGTACAGAAGTGTTTGGGTTGACATGTTGAATGGCACGCGAAAGGACGAGAGCGAACAAGCCTAAACTGTTTGAACTCTCTTCACCCCCCTCTGCTTCACCTGCTCCTGTCTCAACTCTCTTCACCCCCCTCTCTGTTGAATGACCCCAAACATAATGCTGACGACCGGCGGGCATTTTTCGACCTCTTGAGCGCAGCGTGGCCACAGCAAGGTCAACATTCGTGCACCATGGCACTGGGCGGCTTCAACGCGAAGCTTTTCTGCCAACAACGTGGAGAAGAAGACATATTGGGTCGATCTGTACTCGAATGCCAATGGCCCAAAACTAGAGACCAACGCAACGAAGACTTCCTCATAGAGGCATGCCGGGCGACAAGCACCGCGATCGCTAGTGCTTTCTTCGACCATGGGAGCAACGAGTCGGTGGCGTAGTATGGTTCGCGTGGGGACCTCCAGCACGAAGCACACGCTCTGGGTTTTTCACAGATTGACGACTTCCTTGTGGGCGCTGTGCTTTTGGACAACATCACAGACATTTGTTCAAGGCGGGTCCCGCCTGGCGGGACGTCCCACTGGCATCTCGACAATTTCTACTTCAAATGTGGTCTTCCATATCCCTGGACACCAGGCGGGATAAGCGTTCAAATGACATTAATCGGGGACAATGTCTTCGCCACGACCGTGTTCTGGCAGAGCACCATTGCGACGCCTTCTTTGGGGCAATGCGCGCGGAAGACACACCAGAAGATTTAGATGGACATGCCGATCGCATCAGCATCACGATGCAAAATGCGTCCGAAGACAGGAGACCCAACAAAGACACCGCACAAGCTTGGATATCGCAAAATACATTGGGCTGTGACGCGCCGGGCAAGACGGATGGAAGAAGAAAGAACATTAAGGAACATGATCCGCACCGCGATCAAAAATGACAAACGATTGGATGAACAATTACAGGGCGGTGCATGGCATGCTGTACGGCAACTCCGGAAAGGTGCCGCCAAACGGTCAAATCAAAACAAACATCCTGAGGGCATTTTGGTGGACAGCAACATGCGCGGGGGCGTATTGGCAGATTAATTCGAGCGCACGCAGTGGAAGACTACGGATCCAAATGCTGCCCCTACCTCGAAAAACAAATTGGGAGACGACTTGCCCATCAAGACAAACCCATTTGCTTTGGGAGAACTTGTTGGCGCTCCAAGAGAACTTTCAATGGGGAAGGCGGCAGGCACTGATCAAGTACCGTCAGAATTCTGGAAATATCTATTGCAAGATGGGAAACCACGTGAGCATTTGCGACCAGGACGACTTACCAACACATTGGAAAACAACCTGTGTCACACTTCTAGACAAAAAGGGGGATGCGAATCTGCCAGGAAACTGTCGGCCGATTGCATTATGATCCGTTGGATACAGAGTAGTGGCGTCGATGATTCGAAGCAGACTTCAAAAGGGAGGCGCCGAAGAGCGGATGCGACAAACACAATTTGGCTTCAGGCCTGGCCGGAACACAATACAAGCTATTTACATTGTGCGCAGAATGGTTGATGCAGATTGCGCGGGCTCTTCTCCTGGATTCATTGGTGCATTTTTGGGCAGGGCAAAAGCATTCGACCGCATCAACCACAATACACTAATTGAGGCGTTGCACCGGCTTGGAACCCCCTAACCGGATGGTACTTTTTCTTGCAGGAGTATACAAACATCGGTTTGTCTATCTGAAAGACAACGCAGGCGATTCTTCTACGAAGTGCCAAAAGGCGGGGATTGTGCAAGGATGACCTCTTTCGCCGTACCTTCATTATTGTGCATTCTGTTCTGTTCTACAAAATCGACAAGGAGATGCAATTGCGAACCTGGGCGTTGAAGAACCACCTTATCTTGTTACCACAGATCTGCTGTACGCTGACGACACCATGCTGGCCAGCAGCGACGCAGCTAAATTTCAGCTACTCCTGGACACGGTCATCAAAGAAGGGGCGCTATACGGATTGGAACTAAGCTGGAACAAAACAGCTGCTTGAAGCATAAAACATGATGGCGCTATCTTCACTCCGTCGGTGGCCCCATTGAAGACAGTGGATCAAACTATGTATTTAGGAGGACTTATCACAGCAGATGGAGCAGCGCGGCCAGAAGTCTCACGACGGATCGGCGAGGCCAAGGGCATACTTATAGCTACGCAGCGTTGTCGGTCACATGCAAATATTTCCAGACATCGCAAAAATAGAGCTGTAGGCTGCGATTGTTCTTCCAAAGTGTTTGTACAATCTTATATTGCTTCAATTTGGCTGTTGCAAGCGGACAAACGCCGTCTGGACGGCTTCCACGCCAGGTGTCTTCGTAGAACATTACCGATACCGTGTTCTTACGTATCGAGAGTGTCGAACAAAGAAGTTTTCGAGAAGGCAGGACAACGACCTCTGAGTGCAGTCCTGAGTGGCAGGCAGGCGCAACTGCACACTACGATTTGCCGCCCTTCCGAATGATCATCTGCTTAGGGCTCTGACTTGCGAGCCGGGCTCGTGTGAGCCGCGACGGTGGGTTCTGAATCGACGACGTGGGAGGCCCAAACAGCAGTGGGCTGAGTGCGTCCACGAATTTGCTGGCGATGGCAGGACCTAGCTCCTCCCTCTCGCTCCCTTGTCCTCCGCCTCCCCCGTCCTCCCTCCCACCCCCGTCTCCCCGGGGCAATGCGAGTCGTTCCACAATTGACCTGCCAGCACTCAAGGCACCCTGTTGCACCGCCCGACGTGCCGCCAGGGTGGGCAGGTCTTGGGTTCAGCATTTGTTCTTGGAGTGCGTAGAAACGATTTCCCTTCCTCCATTCCCCTCCTCCTGCGCCCACGGGCAGTGTACCATAACCATTATGTGTTTTAGGGCTCGTGCAAGTAGCTTTGTTTGCCGATGCGCCGTGCAAGCATCTGGCACACCTCACCTCAACATAAGAGGATCGCAATTTCGATTCGTACTTTCCGTGGCGATAATAAAATTCGGTCTCGCCGCCCCTTCCCCCCGATTGTCTTGGTCCTGGATAGTCAACTCGCAAGGGTTAAGGGGGGTCCTTTCTTATCTGGGGTATTCGGTTATTGCTCTCCCCTGAACTATTCGCCCCTATCGTCGCCTTCGATGCTGCAGGGCTCCCATACCCGCGGCGTCATTCTTTTCACAACCACGACCCTCAGAAATTTGGACCCCTTCCCGGGGACCGGTTTTTCATCCCGAGCTGTTGTTTGACGGCCTCGGGGGGTGATTCCCCAATCAGTGCTTGCACTGAAGGGGTCCTACCGGAAATTGGCGACAATTTCCCCCCGGTTTTGGTGCCCGGCTGGGTTCCCGGGTTCCCGGTTCCGGGTTCCCGGGCACCTGGTTCTGGGTTCCGGGCCGATTTCGGGGTTCCCTGGTTCCCGGGTTCCCAGTCGATCTCCTTATCGATCCCTTTATCGATCCCATTTCAAACCATCCACTGATTGGTGAGCTTTTTTTATTTGGCGTTTCGACATTGGGCGAAAGGGGGGGGAGCAGGGGTATGGCTCTGACCTCTGCTTGGGGCGACTGTTTGCAGCAGTGTTGGACTCCATCTGCTCGAAACAGGCGCCCAACACAGCCAAGATCTGGAGGGGGGGGGCGAGAGCCCGCGCCGATCGGCAAAACAATGAAGAAAAACAGTAACATTTTTCTCCGGTGCACTTATTCTTATTACTCGGGGCATGCTGTATTTCGGGGATGCACAGAAACCCCTTCAGTAAAACGTGGTTCAGTGAAAACGACCTCGGGCCCAAACCTGGCGGGCGCAGGCCTGGAAAACGGCGGCCGCAGCGCCCTCTCGAGAACCGAAGACAGAGAATTCACCAGTCGACGTGTCAGGTGGGGGGTTCTGTCCACCCCCGATTCATTTCATACTTGCGCGCGCACCCTCCGGCGGGAGCGCCGGCCGGGCCCTCTTCTCGCCCCGCCCCACTCCCCCATCGTTGCTGCCTGGGCGCGGCGGCCTCTGCGGCCTGCAGGAGCGTCAGCGCCAGCAGGGCCCGCGTGCCTGCGCGAGGGGGGGGGATCCACCTGTCACCGCACCAGCCTTGCAGACGTGCTGCAGCCGACTTTTGCGTGGTTTCCTGTCAGCGCCAAGCCCCGAAACAGCGAGCGAAAAGCGAAGTGAATCTCACGTGGATTCTTTTCGGTCTTCACTCCTGGCCAACAAAAAATCTGCACGAAATCCACCTGGAAATCCGGAAGGAAATTCTCCAGGACAGTCCGGGCCCATCCCATCGTTTTCCGATGCGATGGTGGCGATGATGACACCCTCTGCGATGGTGGCGCCAGGAAATCACTACGGGAGGTTTTGCCAGTCCTCGCCAAGCCGCTGGGGACCGCCAAACGACGACCAGGATGAAAAACAGACCAGTCCCGGGGAACGGGTCGGGGCGGCTCCACCTGCAGCGCCACTCGCCATCGCTCGGACGTCTATTCCCTGTGTTTTTGTTCGGTTCCGTGCGTGTTTTTTCCGCCACATGGTCAAGGATGCTCCTCGATGATCCTCGCCGAAGGAAACATGCACACGTCCGAGCGATGCCAAGGCCATGGGGGGCACTGAGAAGGCTGGGGCGACGAGCCTGGGGGCGGTGCTGTAGGTTCGCGCGGCGTCGACGCGCGCAGAGGTGTTGCGTCGATCCTTCAACCTCGAACCGATCGCGGCCCGTGATCGTGGCGTTACGGTGTCTGTCGGTGCTTCCGCGTCGCAGAATTCAACCTTGAGAGCGCCTTCGCCGGCGTCACTTGCGCGCCAACGCCGCACTAACCTACCGTAAGCGAGCAGGGACGGGCCTTCTCAGAACGCGGCGAGACTTCTCAGACATGACTCCCTACCAGACCACCCCAACCCAACCCGAAGATCTGAATTTCGCCTGCATTTCGGGTGGGGGGGGGGTACGGGCTTCATATGTGTTTTTTCCAGATGTTCCCCGACCCTCCCCCCACCGGACATGGAGGACAAATCGGGGCCTTCGGGTTGGGTTGGGGTGGTCTGGTGGGCGGTGAAGATATACCCTCCGGCGTCTGAGGACCTGGACGCCCGAAGTGGGCACGGGAAGAATGGTTACCAACAGCGGCCGCTGTTGGGCAGGCGGCCTTCTGTCTCGAATGGGCACAGGCCGCGGTGGCGTGGACAGCGAGTCCTGCTCAAAAACGAACCGGATCCGCTGCTGGGCATCGCGCCCCTTCTTTCCGTGCCCACCTCGTTCGCGCAGAGATTGGCCGTGGCTTAATGGGGGGGTCACAAATGGGGGGGTCAGGTCCCCTTTCGTGCCCCGTTCGGGCCCCTCGGGAGCCCCAGGGGGCTCGTTTAGGCACCGTTTGGGTACCTTTTCGAACCACCCTCGCCACCCCCCCATTTATGACCCCCCCATTACGCGGCGCCCAAAGAGAGGAGAGCGCGTCTGTCTCCGGGGGACGGCTCCGCCCACTGCTCAGACGGCCCGAGGCCTTCCGCGAGCCCCCTGGGCAGGCCTGCCCGCTCTCGCTGCCCCCCCCCCCCAGAGCTCGCCGCCGACACCTGCAGCGGGCCTCACGCTGAGGTCGACGAGGAGGAGCAGGCGGACGGCTCGCCAGGTGGTCGACGAGAGGGAGCAGGCCTTACGCGGAGGTCGGGCATGTCCCCCTGCAGGCGGATCTGGGGCGAAAAATCAAACGTGGTCACAGCAGACCCCCCGAATGATCTCAAAACTAGTGCAAAGTCGGGCCTGTCCCCCAACAGGGGGATTTTCGACGAAAAATAAGAAATACCCCCGAAATGTTCAAAAAGTAGTCTGGGAACTATTTTTTTTGCATTTTTTGACCATGTTGGCATTTCGTCGAGATCCCCCTGTAGGGGGACAGGCCCGACTTAAAACTAGTGCAAACATCGTCCTCAGACTAGGTGTGTTCCTCCTGTAGAGGGACATGCCCGACAGCCCCCCTACAGCCGGACTCGTGAAGAAAAACAACACATAGTCAAACAATCTCCCCAAAGTGGTCCAATGCGGTACGAGAATCGTCCCCATATTATTCGTTTTCACTGTTTTCGAACATTAGTCCTGCAGAGGGACATGCCCGACCTGGCCTCACGCGAGAAGATGCGGGCACCGTACGCGGGGGGCCTCCGCGGGCCGCCAGCGCGGCACGCTATACAGTGGAGACGATGGGACGAGAGGGCGCTCGCGCTGGGCCGCACGCCGGCACCCTGCGCACGCATGTCTGCGCAAGCGATTTGGACGCCCGAAATGGGTACGGAAAGAATGGGTAATTACAATGCCCAACGCCAAATGTTGTCCCAAACCATCAGCGGCGGAACGGACAGCGAATCCTGTTCAAAATGAGCAGGAACTGGTGTTAGGCATTGTACCCATTCTTTCCGTGCCCAGCAACGGCAAACGGCTCCGATGCACCCTTCATCCACTACGCCGGGTGCAATTCATCGTGTGCACTACGTTGGGTTCCGCCCGACCCCATCCATAGTGTTGGTTGCAATCTGAGTTAGTAGCTGGTGCCCCTACCTAGCTACAACTCAGTGGTGACGTCACTCGGCTGGCGGAGGTACAAGCGAGGGTACGACGGCAATGACGGCGATGGGGACGGGGACGACGACGACGATGAACACCCCCAGGACTTCGTTCCCCAATCAATGCTTGCACTTCTGAAGGGGTCCTAGCGGAAATTGAAAGATTTTGCGAACATTTCCCGCCCATTTTGGTACACCTGGCTCGGTTCCCGGGTTCCCGGTTCCGGGTTCCCGGGTTCCTGGTTGTTGGTTCCGGGCCGATTTCGGCGGGTTACGGGTTCCCTGGTTCCCGGTCGATCTCCTTATCGATCTCCTTACCGATCCCATTTCAAACCTTCCACTGATTGAGGTTTTTGCTCTGGTGTAACTGTACTTTTTGGGGATCCTGAAGGATTCTCGTCGCCACGGCCAAATCCGCCTTGAAAACCACGCCAGGATGGACCCGCGGACCGAATCCGAGCGGATCGGGGCTGGGCAGGAAAGCCGACGAACAGTGGGGGACCGCGTCGTCGTCCTCCTCGGCGCACCGTCTCCTCCCCCCCTCTCCTCTCCCCTCCTCCCCGCTGCGCAGCACCCTCGAAGGAACTGGTTGGGACACCAGCGAATCGGTTAAGAAAGGGGACGAAACCAAATTTACAAAATAGAAAAAAAAATCGGACCCCGCACCCCTCCCAAGGTCCATCTGGTACACATTCCCCCCCGGCCCCCCCAGGTCAGTTTTTCATTCTCCCGGTGCCCGAACACTGGCCCCGGAGGCCGAGAAAGATACAAAACCTGCCCTGCACCTCGAACCTGCCCCTCCCGTCGTGCTCGCCGGAACCGGTGCCGGGCCACCTCAGATCCCCCAGACGGCTCCAGACCCCTCCCCTCTTCCTCCTCCTCCTCCTCCTCCTCCTCCTCCTCCTCCTCCTCCTCCTCCTCCTCCTCCTCCTCCTCCTCCTCTCCGCTCGTCCTCGGGGCACCTGTCCGCGGATGTTAGAACAAATGGTCCTTCTCGTCCCGCAACCGGGCTCGCAGCGCCGTCGGGCGACCCCTGTCTTGGCGGCGCGCACAGGGGGGCGGGGGGATGGGGGAGGGCTTCTTAGAAGGAGGCTGCTTCTTGCAAGGCGCCGGTCTTACATCTATAGATAGGGCCCGCGCCTTCTAAGAAGCAGGGGTGTTCCTAAGAAGCCCTCCCCCCCTCCCCCCCACCCCCCTCGGCGAGAGTGGCTGACTGACGCCGCCGCCCCACCGCCGCCCCACCGCCGCCATCCGTGCGCGCGCGGGCGCTGGCTGACGGCGCGGGGGCCTGCCCTTCCTGGAAGTCGGGGATCTTCTGACCCCGGGTCAATCAAGACCCGGGTCAGTCAGGCCTTGCAGAATCCTGCAGGATCTCCTGCACCCAAACCCGGGTCAATGCGAAGGATTCTGCAAGATCCTGCACCCAAATCTGGGCCAGTGCGACCCTGGCCCTACAGCGCCCTGCAAGATCGGGCGCTCTGGCCGACCCCCGTCTGCACTGACCCCCGTCTCGAGGCTCCCGAGGAGAAGGAGGCAGCGGGGCCAGCTCCTCGGCGAATCCCGACGCCATGATCCTAAGACAGCGTCGAGCCTCCCCGGAGGCCTGGACCCCTTCCCCGGGGCCGGCGCTCCCTTCCGGGCTGTTTCGCCCGGGCGGCCCCGCGGGGCCCCGGTGCGGTCTCCCCCGGAGGCCGAAGACAGCGAGAAGCCTCCCATCGCGCTTGCTTCCCAGCGCGAGGGGGCCATGGGGGGGGAGAGGGCAGTCACACTCGGCCTCTAGAAAAAGAAAGCACTGCATACGCAGAAACTTTTGGCGCTCCGCGCGGACTTCTTGGACCTGCGCTGGACCCCCTCCCCGGCGCACGGAGTGCGCCAGGGGCGGCGCCAGAGGCGCCGCCGAGGGGGCCCCGGCGCGGAGCCACGAAATCCGCGCGGAGCGCCAAAAGTTTATGTTTATGTCGTTTTTTGTTTTTCGAACCTCCTCGTCCTTCGGGGGCGCGCAAACATGGATTAGCGATCCATGGATTCGGCGCGCCGTCGCCTCATCCATGGATCGGGGGAGGTGCCCTCCCCACAATGCGGCCAGTGCCGCCTCGTTCGGCGGCTGAGATCCGCGACTCCCAAAATGGAAACGGGACCCGCCGCTAATATACGCCCCGTATAATCCATGTTCGCGATCGCCTGCCTTTCCCCCCATCGTTGCCCCTGAAAGGGCCCATGGTCGCCCCAGGGCAGCCGTCGGGGCCCTCGGCGCGGCACCGAGGAGAGGTGGCAGGGGTCCGCGGGGGATGGACCCGAAGAACACGACCAGGAAGCGTGCCCCCCTTGGGAGTCCTCCTCGCCCTGCCTCGCGACGTCCAACAGACCCGCCAGCCGCTCCCCCGTCCTCGTCCTGCCCCGCTCCCGCGGGGGCGCGGCGCGCCGAGGCGTGCGCTGCCCATGCCGACCTTTGGGGTCCCTTCATTGCTGCGGGCCTGCGCCGACGACTCGAAGGGAGGGCACCTCCGGGGAAGGCGAGGCGCATGACGACTGAAGGCTCGACCAAAGCAAGGTTTTTCGTTTCAGGTGTGTTGTCGTTGTCCTTTCCTTTGCTTTGTTTTGTCTTCGTTCCTTTGTGTTGTCTTTGTTTGTCGCTTTCCTTTGTTTTTCCTTCGTTCCTTTGTTGTGCTGCAAAACGAAACCAAAACGAAACGGTGCACGAAATCGCCAAGTCACTGGTCAGGTCGAGCCCTGTTACAATCCTCAACGAAGCCACACGCAAGCACGTTTGTGTTCCAGCCCCACTACCAGCCATAACTGGGGGAGCTGTGGTCCTTACCCCCCTGGGGGAACCCATCGCATCGACGATCTCTCGAGAGGGGTGTCGAAATCGATGGGTCCCCCAGGGGGGTAAGGACCACAGCTCCCCCAGTTGTGGCTGGCCTGCCTCGCCCCCCCCCCCCCCCCCTCCAATTTCGGCGTGCACCGACGCGCGCAGCGGCTCGCGGGAACCAGCGAACGAACAGCCGCACGGCATGAGCGCGTGGGCAGAAACAACTGCGCGCGAACTGGCGCAGCGGAGAATAAAATTACACCAAAGAAAAGCTCCAATCAATGGATGGTTTCCGCTGAGGAGATCGACCGGGAACCCGGGAGCCCGGGAATCCGGAAACCACCGAAATCGGCCTGGAACCAATGACCCGGAACCCAGGAACCCGGAACGGGGAACCTGGGAACCCAGCCTGCTACCAAATTCGGCGGGAACTTTCCCCAAATCTTCAACTTCCGCTAGGACCCCTTCGGTGCAAACGCTGATTGGGGAATCGAGCCCGTGGGGCCAAACGACCGCACGGAGAAGTCGCCAGGTTCGGCACGCGCAGTCAGAGCGGGGGCCCAGGAGCGCCGCCGCGTCGCAGGCCAAACAACTCTTGCGCGCTGCCGTCGCGGAGGGCCGTGCTAACCCTGGGGCTGCGTCGACGGCCCAACCGGGCGCCGAGCGGGGCTGCTGTGGGTGGGTGGGGGGGGGGCTCGCCTCCGAGGAGACCGTTGGAAGAGACGGCGGAGGGGGGGGGAGGGGGGGCGAGGGGGGGGGGAGGGAGGGGGGGGGGGATGTTGTCGGGGAAAGGGAGGCGCAGGAGGAGGCGGCGTGAGGGTGAGGGACATCATGCTGGGGATGAGGAGCAGCGCCCCAGGAGGGGAGGATGAGGAAGGAGGAGGAGGAGGAGGAATGAGAAAGGCCCCTGAAACTGCAAACAACCAGCCGACAAATACGATGGAACCCTCTAGGCTCCCCTGACTCCATCCCTTCTCCTCCTCCTCCTCCTCCTCCTCCTCCTAATCATCATCATCATCATCATCATCATCATCATCATCATCATCATCATCATCATCATCATCATCATCATCAGCATCACCAGCATCACCAGCATCACCATCATATCTTCTTCTTCATCATCATCATCATCATCATCATCATCATCATCATCATCATCATTAGCATCATCATCATCATATTCATATCTTCATCATCATCAACATCATCAACATCATCATCATCATAATCATCATCATCAGCATCATCATCATCATCATCGTCATTAACATCATACTCGTACACTCCCTCTTCTCAGTCTCCAACTCATCCTTCTTGTCATCCTCATCACGCATCGTCGCCTTCTTGATGCTCTTCTCCATCCCTCTTCCTTGAAACAAACCTTCCTGTCGCATCCCAAGACGTGTCGGTAATACAGACCCGGCGTTTCGCCTGATGATCGCTCGCTAGCAATGACCCTGAAGCTTGAAGGCTGCAACAGCTCACGGATGGATGGCGGGCAGAAGTTTGCAACAGCTTCGCATATTGAGGGCGGGCCGTTTTAAAAGTGTGGCCCTCACCTTAGCGCCACCCACATTCGTCAGAAACGATTGCAGCAAATTCGATGATGGAGGGCGGCTCCTTTTCAAATTGTGGCTCTCGCTCTAGCCCCGCGCACATTCGACTTAACAAGTTTACATTCGACTGAACAATTGGAAACTGTTTCAAGGATGGATGGCCGCTCCTTTTCAAAATGTAGCTCTCGCCTGAGCGCAATTTCAAGGATTCGTATGGTCGAAGTCCTGCTAAATTGTGTTCGGGCACGGCTTAGGACTGTCAGGATCTAGCAGTCGAACTGATTTGCGGTGCACGATTTCGGATTGTCAACCTCCCCGACAGTAACCACGAAAAAAACACTCAAAGACGGAGTGGTACCGACACCGCTACCCGTCCCTCGATTCCCCTTTCTTGGGCATCCCTCTCGGGCGTTGCCGGGACTGGGGATAGTGGGACTTGGTCTACTCTCAGGTCGGGCATGCACCCCTACAGCCGGATGTGTGAAGAAAAACAAAACATAGTCAAACAATATCCCCAAATGGCCAAACGTAGTACAATAATCGTCCCCTATATTATTCGTTTTAAACTGTTTTCGAATATCAGTTCTGTAGAGGGACATGCCCGACTTAGATCTACTCTGGAAGTGAGATCTATGAATTGTCTGGGGGCATCTCGTCCGTCCAAAGCGCCGGGCGCCCGGGTGCCCTCCAAGACCCTCGACGTCGGGATTTTGTCGCAGCGTCGACCCCTAGCGATCTTTTGGAGTTCCGAAACGGTGCGGTGACAGACCGTGCGGTGACCTCGAAATCCCCCAACACCTCACCGCACGGTCCGTTACCGCACGGCCTTGGGGCCCCAAAAGCCCCTGTCGCATGAGACATCCTCGGAGAACGACCCGAGTCCCAAAACCGTGCGGTGACCCCAGATCCCCGCACGGTGTGGTCACCACCCCGAATGGGGGCCCCCGAGATCTGGACCCCCTTCCCCCCGGCGGCCGTGTTTTCATCCAGGGTAGTTTTTTTCCGAAGGGGCCCAGGGACACACGAATAATTACACAAATAGAAGGAGTCCCATAGTTTTCGATATTTTGTTGGTTTCCGTCTTCTCCCACACTTCCCATACATCCCAATATGTTTTGGGGAATCGACGATTAATTGTGTCTGCGTGTGTTTCCCTCCTGTGGTGTTGGGTCCGCACATTGAGGAGACAGCGAGGCGCCGGGCGCCTGGGTGTCCTCAAATAGCCCCCGACGTCGCAACGTCGACCCCCAGAGATCTGGACTTCCTTCCCCGGGGCCAGGTTTTCATCCTGCGTCGCTCTTCCCAACTATCCTGTGGGTCCGCAGTTTGCCAATCGTTCCTTCCTTCCTCCTCCGCTTCATCCTTTTCCCATCCCTGCCCCTGCCCTCCGCACTCCGCAAATATTTACCGCCATCATTATCATCATCATCGCCACCATCGTCATAATCACCCCCGCCATCATCGTGATCATCATCATTATCAGCACCATCCGCATCAGCATCATGTTCAGCATCATCACCATTCTCTTCGTCATCAACATCATCACCCTCATCATCAACATCAACATCATCATGATCAAAGTCGTCGTCATCAGCACCAACATCATCATCAACATCAGCATCGTCATCGGCATAATCATCAATCGGCCCAAATGGCTGCGTTCGCATGACACCAGCCAACCATTTCGACACACCCTTCACACGCTTCGTAGCCCCATAGGGAGCTCCAGCGGAGGCTCCAGTGGTTACGCGCGCCCGCGCCCGCCGCGCCCGTTTCGGCACACCCATCACACGTTTCGTGGCCCCGTGAATAGGGAGCCCCACCGAAGGCTCAAAGGCAGCGCCGGCATGGGCCCGCCGCCCTTCGTCGTCCAAAGCCCACGCCACCTTGCCAGCGATGATCGCCGTGACGCTGAGCTTGGGCACGTCATCCTCGCGCGCAAGCGCCGCCGTTGGGGCGACTGTACCCGCCAGGGCCTGCGCCGCGTTCGTGCACACCACCTGCGCGCTGTCCAGGGCGGCGGTGCACTTGGACACGCGATCCGTGGCCTGGCCCACGCGCAGCTGGAGCTCCTCCGCCTCCGCCAGGGCCTCGCCCAGGGCCGCCGCGGCAGCGTCCCTGGCAGCGCCCGCCTCGCCTCGGCCACAGAGAGGGGCCTGGCCAGGCGCTGGGCGCGGAGGGCGTCCAGCTGCTGCCTGTACTTGGCCTCTGCTGGCTCGTCTCCTGACAAGCAGAGGAGCTCCACCAGCTGGGCCAGCTTGACCTCCTCAGGGTCCGCGTCGGGCTCCAGGGCCTGGGCTACGTCCACGATGCGGACTCCCTGGCTGCCGCTGCGCTGGCGGCCTGCCGCTTCTGCGACCAGAGCGGCTGGCCGCCCGCGCGGCGCTCCGCCGCGCCCGCCGACGGCGCCCTGGCGCCACGGCGGCTCGCGGGCGCCGCTGCGATCCCTGCCGGTGGATCGGCGGCGGCCAGCTGCGCCGCGAGCAGCAGCAACCCGCGCAGGCACCAGCTGCAGCGGGCGCCTGCAGCGGTAGCACCATGTCCACCATGCTTCATTTTTGTCGGCACCCACAGTGGGCGCACGCGTGGCCGCCGCGGCCGCTGGCGGCCGCTATGCCGCCCCAGCCGTCGCCCGCCTGGCGCGCGGGGGCCGGCGCCGCCGAGCCGTGGTGGCCGTCCAGTAGCGCCGCGGCGACCACCAGGCGGCCGCGCTGGCGGGGAGATGGCGAGCCCCGCCACGCGCGCAGCAGCGCCCTGGCCGCGGCGCGCTCGCGACGGAGGCGCCGATGCCACGCCGCCTCGGAGGGCAGCGCGATGGCCCCCGCCCGGGGAGAGCCCGCGGCGGCCTGTCCGCCCCCAGGCCCTCAGGCAGAAACTAGGGAGGAGGAGGAGAAGGAGGAGAAGGATTTAGCACTCCTCGGGCCGCCCGTCGCCACGCTCCGCACCGAGGCCTGGCGCGCAACTAAGGGAGGCGAAGGAAAGGAGAAGGAGGGCGGCCTCATAGCCACCTTTCGACAAAACTTTTGGGCCATCGAGCGTGTTGGTCGAAGACGTCTTGGCTCAGCCTCTGCCGCCGCAAGAAAAGCCTTCGCCAGGTGCTTCCTCACTGCTCGACCTATAGCTTCAGCATGTTCCAGTTCAGCAGCCACATCACTCGATACAGCGCACTTCTGAGCCCAGAACCCCGCGGCTTCATCCGCGAGGGCATTGACCAAGTAATGCTCCACGTTGGTGTTGGACTGCTTAGCTTGATCCACTGACATGTGACTCTCAATCTTGACCACTTGCACATTCTGTGTATAGCGTGCCAGAAGCCTGCTTTACCTGCAGCCATAGGTCCAAATTGGTGGTGGGCAACCGGCCTGAGGAGATCATCGCGATCCCCTTGAGTACATACCCTGAGTCCGTCACGAAGGTCATGGGGATGTCCAGCTCATGCAAGTCCTCCAATGCACGGAGCAACGCCGTAGTCTCCCCCCTGTTGATAGTCTGCTCCTCGGGGATCCCACCTCCCCTCGAGTAGAGTAATTTCACATCAAGCACAGGGTCGCTCAATACCTGGATCACCTGGTATGGCCAACCGATCCTGCGCAATCTCGGACCTGCTGAATGTTCCCCTCCTGACGCGTCTCCACCGACCAACAGATGCTCACAAAATGTAAATCATTCACATGGCCCATGGATTCGTCGTAAGGTGAGTCAGTTGGGCCCTCCACGCAAGTCCAAGCGGCGGGCAAAATACCGCTTAGCCACAGGCACGGCAGGTACTCTACGTCCTCATGGGCTCTACGAGTCAGGTTCAGCGATATACTCGAGAAATGCACATTGCAAGGGCGCTGCCAATAACGATGCAGGTCCGTTTCCTCTTGTCCGCTATCACATCTCTGGCAAGCGGTAGTGTCCAAAGTGCAGCTGCTCAGGGTTGAAGTGCGATGCCGAGTCCAGGATGCGCCCGTCATACAGCTTCCAGCGCACCCGCCATCTCGTTCTCGCCTTCCTTGCGGAGGGAGTTGATGCGCCGCCGAGCGCCTCGAAGATCTGCACCTTCCCCCGCACCTTTGCCATTCCAATGCCTGGGGGCCCTGTCCCAAAGCATCCTGTCGATGGAGTCCGATACGGCTTCCTTAAGCTCACTCATGTCCTGCTGGCCTTGCCCGATGATACTGTCGGGTGCCATGAATCTAGCGCCAGAATCTGAGATCCACGCCCATGGTCCGACTGGGCCCCATCCATTGTCAAATAAAGTCGCAATAGTAGCCGAGGCAACTCCAGTGATACCCCGCCATCTGTCCTTCTGAGCTCGCATCTCAGTCCTCCTGCGTGCTGCCCTCCAGGTACGACGAGCCAGCTCCAGGTCTAGCCCTGGTTGGAAAATAATTGCCATCCAGGATTCGATCAACCTGTGTACGATCTGGTACTGCGGGCCCTTCCTACCCACACGAAGCTGCAGCAGCGCGGTGAGACAACGACCCGGCCATGTCTTCGCCAGTGTCTGCCCCAGTGACTTCCTCCACCCATTGATGACAGATGGCGCTGCACTAAAAACTTTGCCTGAGTAATCCGCCATCGGTAAAAACTCCCATCATCGCCAAGTTCCCTCCTATCTTCTTGCGTACCGCCCCTTGTGCAAAACGCTTGACGCGATTGAAGCGAGCGGCTGCGCCTCCTCGTCGTTGTGCTTGCTTGGGCCGCAGGAAGCCCACAGCGCCTCTGTCGATGCCGAGGTCCGTCGCTACACATGCAATTTTGACCGTGAAGCCCACCTTCTGGAAACCTTTTCTTAGCGCTTTGCCAAGGTCCACTTGATTGGTGACGATAGTAGAATTGGGTGAAATAGCCAATCCAGCTTCAGTACAGCCCTTCGCAAAGATAAGCCCAGCTTGCAATGCTAGCCCCAAAACACGCTTGCACCGTCCTTCCACACGCTGAGAAACATCATCCACCCAAGATCTCGTCGTAACAGCTGGGATTCCCTGTGCCACTCTATCCAAAATTTTTATACAGTGCACATCTCGAGAAGTCAACAGCTCCACCCAGTCCTGCAATCATACTCTTCTCAGGAATGATAGCGCCCCGGTAGCAACCGTTATCCCGAAGGAATCGTACACCCATACGCAGAACCATCTCCAATGCGAGGATACTTGGAGGGTTGGCCGCAAGGGTCTCCTCCATGATGCTCTTGAGCTCCTTCTGCTTGTCGGTGGCCACCGGGTCGACTGCGGCCCATGCTGCCGCAGCTCCCTTCGAAGCTCCTGGAGTCGATGTTCCTGCCTCCGTCGATGTCGGCGTCGATGCCGAACCACCCGCAGAACCCCCTTCTGCATCAGGTCGATGATCTTCCGTAGGTGCTGGACTGCTCTTCCTCTTCTTGGTGGCTTGCCAAGATCCGAGCTCCTCCACCTTCTTCTGCTGCTGTTCGGCCAGCGTCGCAACCATCTTGCTGAACTGGGCCGAAAGCGCCGACTTGAACTCTGTCTCGAAGGAGGTCTTGCTTCGCTCAAATTCGACACGATCTGCCTCCTCCAACTCCACGTCCTCGAAGAGGCCCCCGAAGCTGAGGTTGAGTTCCGCACGATTCTCGAGCAATTCTCGTACATCCATCTGCCCAACAACTGGTTGGCTGACAGGTTCCGGGGCAAGCTCCTTGGCGACGGCCTCTTGAGCGACAGTGGCGTCAGCCAAGTTCGCCGCCTGCTCCTTGTACTGGTCCATGGCGGACGCCAGCTCCTTCTCGAGTCTGATAACTCTTGTCGCAACCTTTTCCAAAGCGCCTTCAGCTCGTTCCACTTTCTGAGAAGCCTCCGAAAGCCGAACCGAAGGTGGCTTCGGAGACGCAGCTGGGGCCTGTGCCAGAGTAGACTGAAGCAGCTTCGCCTGCTCCGCCGCAGCGCCTCCCTTTGCAATGATGAGGCCCAGCGAAGCAGATATGTCCATCTGATTAGTCTGGCCTCCAGCTGCATTGTGCGACCCTGCACCTCGACCTTTGAGGAAAATGCCGCAGAATCTGCACGTATAGTCACACTTCTCGAGCTGGTCGTTGTAAGTGAACTTGCTGCATACTTTACACCAGGTGACATCACGGCCGGCCTTGGGCTCGGTGACGTTCTGGCTCGATGTACGATTGGCAGCTGACGACCATGGCTGCGTGTCCAGATTGGAGTAAGATCGCGAGGTGCCCAGGGCGGGCCAATCATCTCCCAAAGCCAATCTTGCTCCTGGAGGGCTCGGGGTACGCCATGGAGCCCACTTCTGCCATGATGCCTTATACTGCTGCCTGCCACCCTTCGCCATGGCTGCGGCCGTGGAAAGAATGCGATATGCATGGAACCTGCGGCGAGCAGGATCCAGAAATACACAAAGAGGAACGCTGAAAGCGATGGGGGCCGACCCCGCTGAGGCAGCGAATGAATCGCCATTTGGCCTTGAGCCAAAATGGCTTGAGCCAAAATGGCTGCGGAGGAGGAGGAGGAGGAGGGGGAGGAGGAGGAGGAGGAGGAGGTTGTTGTGGAGCGACCTAAAATCAGATGTAAAAGCATGACAAACCTGTCCTTCCGAATCCAAGGCCTCCTCGTCCTCGGGATCCTGGGGAGGTCGCCGCGCCGCCTCGCCTAGCGACCTGGCCATGTCGAGGCCGCATTCCTGCAGGCCGAAGGCCTTCAGCACGGCCCCACGAGAGGCGTAGCCGAGCCTCGCAAGGCGTACCTTTCCTGCGGCAGGAGAGGGCGAGGAACGACAGCGAACGCGCATGAGATCCCTCTCCGCCTCCGAGAGCCCACAAGACTGGGGGACGGCAGGGTTCTTAGACGAGGCCCTTCCGTGAGGGTGCTTACCGTCTAGAATTCTCTTGAGCTGGTGCCTTACTTGAGCTGGCCGAGGCCGATGGTTACATCCTGCTCTGAGCAGGCCCCCAGGCTTGTAGTCCTCACAGTAGGCACCACACTTCACACAAAAGACAATGGGCATCCCCGCACGGGCAGGACTCTCAATCTCACAGCGCATCAGTGCATGGCCTTGCACATAGAGCGCAGAAGTGGCCACTTCGGCCCGGTCGAATCCTTCCGCCCCGCCCAACCCCAGCTCCACCCCGTCCCCGCCCTCAGAATCGTCAGTCTCTGGTTCAGGCAAGGGCGGATGCTCGTGGGTGTCGGGAGCAGCCTTTTTCAGCCGCTTCGAGCCCCACAGTGTCTAGACGCTTGTCAGACTGACTCTGCAGGAGAACTTCTGAATTGGCGGCCCACTTGGCCGACTCCTTAACCAGACACTTGAGACCTCTGTACAAGTCCACATCTGCCTCGCAAGGATGTGCTTGGCTGCGCCCATCTTCGCATATGAGTCGACCGAACCGTTGGCCTTCATTTCCCACAGGGTCGCCTTGCCACTGTGGACATCAGTCATCGTGCAATGCGTTTCCGTCGTGGTCGCCGTGAGGTCCCGAAGAGAGAAACTCGACCAGAACGGGGCCCAGACATGGGCCCTGGGCCCTCCAGCCGGGGCCCTGGCACCCTGGCCACCCCAGAGGACGTCCAGGGTTCCTTGGCAATCACAGTATAAACCAATTGGCGCCATTGCACATTGTGCAAGCATATGCACTGTATAGTCCTCTCCATCTTTCGCCGACTGTCTCGGCCCATGGGAGAACGGCAATGGCCCATAGCAGGCTGCTGCAAGATTGCCCAAGGGATCGGCCTGGACAAGCCCAACCAGCCCTCGAAAGCCCAGGGATCCCTGGCTAGAGAGCGGACCCGTCCGAGAACATCAAGCCGTTGAGTCGGCCTGACTCAGGCCTGTTGATCCAGAACACTGTCTGCTCGGGCTCCTGGGCAGGAAAAAGAACCATCGGCGAGGGGACGATCGCACTCGCAAATCTCTCAGCGAGCTCCTCCCCTCCTTCGTACACACGGGCAGCCCTGCTGGCTAGCTGTGGCGAGACCATGTCCCTTCTGAGTGCAGCGTGGGCCGAGCATCGATATTGCCGATGAAACAAGCTACCCGCCTCCTCCTGACAGATCCTACACTTGCAGCAATTGTGGTACCCATACTTGTGCACCCTGGCCTGAGGCCAATGCACATTCCTCATCAAGCTCCTCAGGGACCTCTGATGCTGGGGCTTCCAAGAGGAGGAGGATCGGAGAAGAGGCTTCAAAGCATCCCAGAACAGAGGGTACCCTGGGAGGTCATCACCTACCTGCATTAAAGCCTGCCTGTCAGACGCCCTGATGGCCGCGAGGGATGGGAGGAGGAGGAGGAGGAGGAGGAGGAGGAGGAGGAGGAGGAGGAGGAGGAGGGAGGAGGAGGAGGAGGGAGGAGGGAGAGAGGAGGAGGAGGAGGGAGGAGGAGGAGGAGGAGGAGGAGGATGAGGATGAGGAGGAGGAGGAGGAGCAGGAAGAGGGAGGAGAGGGAGGAGGAGGAGGAGGAGGCGGAGGCGGGAGGCGGGCGAGAACGAAAGGAGGCTCGATGGGGGGGGGGGGGCCCGGGGGGGGAGGGGGGCTCCGAGAGGAGCCGAGGGAGCGGGGGAGCCGGAGCAAGGAAGGCGAGGGCAGGGACGAGGAGGCGGCACTGAGGACCTCCGGAGCCCGCCGTTCGAGTCGTCGGGGCGGCGCGGGGGGGCGGCGCACCCGAAGCGCTTGGGCTGCCGCTGGTCCCGAGCCCTCGGCCCCGCCTCCTCTCCGGCCCGCCGCGCCTCGTGCTGCCACCCTCCTTCTTCCCTCCCCTCTGCTTCCTTCTCCTCCTCGTACATACACAGATACGCGCATACCATCAGCAAAGAGAGAGAGAGAGAGAGAGAGAAACAAAGCAAACAATTAACACAAAAAAAGAGAGATAAAGAGAGAGAGAGAGAGAAACACAAGAGAGATGACAACAGAAAAGAAACAAGAGCGGGCGAGAGAGAGAGGGGGGAGAGAGGGGGAGAGAGAGAGAGAGAACGAGAGAGAGAGAGATAGACACAGACAGAAAACAAACAGACAGACACACAGACAGAAATAACGACACACAGAAATACAGACAGATAGAGAAAGAGAGCGGGGGAAGAGAGCAGGGGAAGAGAGAACGGGGGGAAGAAAGAGAGCGAGAGAGAGAGAGAGAGCGAGACAGGGAGGCCCCTCGGCCACCATTTAACCGAGGAGAAGGGAGGGACAGAGGAGGGCGGGAGGAGCACGTGACGAGAGAGCGAGAGATAAAGAAAAACTGAATCGAAAGAGGGCAGGAGCGGAGGTTGCGGAGAAGAAGGTGGATCGAGTGCAATCGCGGCCGTGAATCACCTCTTGCGGGCCGAACTCACCGAGGTGGCCCGAAAGCCTGGGCGGCATCTGCATCGAGCCAGCTTTTGTCTGACACTGCCGGCTGCTGGCGCAGCATTAAGAAACGCAGTTCCCCTGGCCCTGCACTGCCGTCCCTCATCATCGTCCCCCTGTTCCTGCAACCCCGTTCCTCATCCGTCCCTCCTCCCCAGGAACAAACGGAGCTCCCCGCCTGTCGCACCACCAGACGTGTCCGTGGGCCGGGCAAGAGGCTCCGCATGAGACGTCCCTGGGAATTGCGATCCTGCGTACGCAAACAAGTGCAACAACTTCAAGGATCGAGGGTCGGTCGTTCTCAAAATGCGGCTCTCGCATCACCGCCGCACATATCCATCTTAAGTGTTCGCAACAGCTTTAAGGATAGAGGGCGGGTAGGTTGCAAAATGCCAACCTCGCCAGGAAGCCGCAGACCTTCGTCCAGCAAAAACCGCAGCAACTTCAAGGATGGAAAACGGGCGGTTTTCAAAATGCGGCTCTCGCCTGAATGCCGACTCGCCTTCCAAATGCAGCTCTCGCCAGCCCCGGGTGCTTTCGTTCTTAGATGTGGCAACCTCTACGGGAATGTCGGGCGGGTCGTATTCAAAATGGGCTCTCGCATCAGTGACGCGCATATTCGCCGTAAGGTTTGCAACAGTTGAGGGTGGAGGAGGAGGAGGAGGAAGAGGAGGAAGGGAAGGAGGGGGAGGGAGCGGGGGGAAGAGGATAGGAGGATGAGGCTATGAGGATGAGGATGAGGATGAGGATGATGATGATGATGATGATGATGATGCTGATGATGCTGATGATGATGATGATGATGACGATGATGATGACGAGAAGGAGGGGGAGGAGGAGTAGGAGGAGGACAAGGAGGAGGAGGAGGCAGTCGATGGCGAGAGCCTCATTTTGAACAGGCGCCGCCCTCCGCCCGTGCAGCTGCTGCAGTGCTTGAGCCCGCAGTTCTTAGAGGGTATGATAAGGATGCGCGGTAGAGATGCGAGGGCCTTCGAGGGCCGTGCTGACGTTTTGTCGAACGAGTCGCCACGCACGGGCCGGAGGGGCGAGTCTGCCAGGGCAGCCTTGGAAAAGTGTTCGTCCTTGCTATGCGGGGGAGGCGTGCACCTCGTGCAAAGACTTGCAGGGATGGGAGGCGACTCATTTCCAAAACAGGGGCTCCAATGGAACACCTCGCAGAAGGACGCACGCCGTGCTGGGGCTCTCGCCTGCATGGCAGGCCCTTCGGGTGCGCGGCGCCTTTCGGGGGGGGGGGGGGGGCGCTTCCTGTAGTGGAGAGGAGCGCCTAAAGGAACTGATCAGGAGGGGACTTGGGGGAATGGAATGGTGCGTTGCAGCATCATTGTTGCATTCTTGGTTTACTCTCCTACTCCTTCTCGTTCTCTTCCTCCTCCTCCTCCTTCTCCTCCTCTCCATCCCCCTTCCTCCTCCTCCTCCTCCTCCTCCTCCTTCTCCTCCTCCTCCTCCTCCTCCTCCTCCACTCTCCACCCTTCTTCCTCTCTCATCCTCCCCATATCCCGCTTTCCCCCTTACTCGACCCTTCCCCCCTCACTCGTCCCCCTACTCCTGTAAGCTTCATCTCCGCTCATGTTACTTCCTCAACCTTTCATCCTGTTCCGTTTCATCACCCCCTCCTCCTCCTCCTCCTCCCATCCCTCCCTCCCGAGCATCCTTATCACCCATTATGCTGCTCATCCTCCTCCCTGACCCTGCTGCTGTAAGTGGAACCGCTGATCCCATTGTTGATGCTTCTCCTCCGCGTGCTCCTGCCTTTTCGGCGCAAGCGCGTCTGTCAAGGTCGCGCGGCACTGCTGAGGGCTGCGAGCTGCCGCGATTGCAGCACATTCAGAACATGCTCGCTGGTACTACCCCATCCAGCAACCCAATACTTGACACGACCTTTCTCATAAAACGCTCGAAGTTGCGATTGCTCCGTGTGCGGTCCTCCGTGAAATGCAAGGCTGCCTTGCTCTCACAACATGGTCTACTTTCACAACC